TGTCGTTGACGACCCAGATGGGGAATATGATCGGGGGCAAGTTCTCGTATTGCCTCGTGCCCTTTCTTGGGGAGGAGTCGAGGCCGAGCAAGATGAACTTCGGGGAAAGCGGTATTGTCTCGGGCGATGGGATGGTCTCGACTCCTATAGCCACGAAAAGTCCGAGCACTTTCTATTTCTTGACGTTGGAAGGGGTTACAGTCGGGAAAGAAAGATTGAATTTGGTTTCGTCTGATGATGATGTTAAGGAATCCGAGGAGGGGAATATAATCATAGACTCAGGGACGACGTTGACTTTTCTCCCGATCCAGCTCTACTCTCGGGTCGTGAGAGCTGTGAAGAGCCAGATGGCATTGAAGGAGATTAGCGACCCTCAGGGGTTGTTGAAGTTGTGCTATATGTCGATGGGGAACGAAATTTCCGAGGTTCCAGAAATCACGGTGCACTTCAAAGGGGCCGATGTGAAATTGAAATCCGTAAACAGTTTCGTTAAGACGAGCCAGGTGTCGCTGTGCCTCGCTTTTGCACCGGCGACTAGTTACGCGATTTACGGCAATTTGGCCCAGATGGATTTCTTGGTGGGGTATGATTTGGAGAAGAAGACTGTGTCCTTTAAGCCGAGTGCTTGTAGCAAAGGGTAATAATATAAAGGGATTCATTGCGGCTGATTGTTGTTATTATAAGAAAATTCACAATAATATCAAGTACTTGTATCTCAACTGATGACATTCATAAGCAGACTAGATAACAAACAAAAGAGAACGAGGAAACTTCATATTGAATATATTCATAACCAAAGAAGTAAACAACAACTTATCCAGAATTCAATTTCAACAGAAACTCTGAAAATCCTAACAAAAACAAAAAAATAAAATAAAATAAAATAAAAAACCCACAAAAATCTTCCTTAAGGAGAATCATTAGAAAGTTCTAACAGGCATTACCACGAACACTTGGTGGGCGCTGGGGGGCACGACTAGCATCGACCTCTCTATACATCGTCCTCGTCGCGTTTGGTGGGCTTGCGATAATTTTGTTCGACGTGCTTAGCGATCAAAAGACTCGTGTTGAAGAGGTTCTGAAGGCTGGGCACGTTGTAATTCTGGGCTACATACACTCCGAAGGCTGTGCCCATCATGAATGAGAAGCTACTCTTTATTATGCCCATTTTTTTTTCCTTTAGTTTCTTGCAGTTTTGACAACGGGTTTTTATACGAGCGATTTTTGTAGAATATCTTCGTTTCTTGATGAAGGGGAAATCAAGAACCAGGGGTTTAACAAAATCATAATATGACCAAACCAATGCGCGAATTTTCTAGAATCACTACTTCCGTTGTCTCCTAGTGGGCTTCACCGTTGGAAGATATTTATTAATATTTATTAATTAAAAATATGAAATTAATATGTAATATAATTTATTTAGATAAATTTATTGAAATATTATATAAAATTTAAATTGTGTTAAATAACATAAATCATGTGTATATAAAGATAGTACACAACTTTTATGGTGCAGGTAAGTATAATAAATTATATTATATTTATTTTAGAATAAGTGTCATTTTAAGATTTTTATTCAATAATTGATTTGGATACAATGTGATTTCATAAAATAATTATTTTGATAAATTATGTATATACATATATTCATAAACTATGTGAATAATAAGTATAATTTTAAAACTTTTATTGTTTCGTTAATTAAAATGAGTTTTTTTTTGTATAAACTATCGAAATTATAAAAAATATATAGTTGAGTAATTTATTAAACTATGAATAATTGACTATTCTATTAACGTTCAAGTTAATGTTGAATTATGAATATTTACTTATTTGACTTTTAAAATTGGAACCCAAATTTAGACTAATACATAAATTCACG